AGGGAGACAGGTTCAGCTAAACATGAGCAGGGGCTGTGGCAGGTGGGGAGCTCCCCGTCACGTGAGGTATGCAAGCTCCAAGGCCCATGGGCTGGGATGCTGTGACTGCAGTGACGTGGGAATGAGAAGGACAGGTGTTAGCCTCCCCACTAAGCCACCTTCTGGCCACGGGTCCCTTTATGGGTGTGATGCCCAAGGCTGGAGGGACGGCAACTTGCTGCGCCGGCTCCCAGCGTGGGCAGCGGTCAGGGGCTCTCTGGAAGCAGGCCTCCTCGTTTGCAGGCTCATGCAGAGACCTCCACAGAAGCCCGGGGTCGTTTAGGCCGCGACGCTTAGGAAGCGCGGCGAGGACAGCAGCAGACACGTGCTTTTTAGAAATCACCAGACGTCACTTCAAAAGCGCCTTTCTTCAAATACTCACGACTTTCAAGGCACGGCTGTGGCGGTTTGCCTCTCTGGGCCCTGGTCCCCCTCCCGCTCTGTGGCTGCATTTTGCCCTCCTGCTGCCCAGCCCTGCCCGGGCGGGATGCAGGATGGGGGTGGGGGGTCCCCGACATCTGCCATCACAGGTCCCATGCTGCGTACCTCTCAGACGAGGCCACTTGCAGCCGGGTGAGCAGCGGAGTGCCCGGGAGGCCGTCTCTGCAGGTGTCAGGGCACAGTCTCCCTTGGGGTCATGATCTCAAGGCTGCCAGGGTCATGGCTGCCCGTGTGTCCGAAAGCCCAGATAAGGGCCCCTGAGGTGCGGTCCCTGTGCTCAAAGGCACACTCCACACCAGCCAGGGGTTCGGGCTCCGTGTGAGCCCCCACCTGGGCCCGCTCGGCGAGGAGGGCCTTCCCCGTGTGGCTGGCTCTCCCCGAGCCCCGCAGCTTCGGGGCGTCACGGAAACGGCGTTCTCCGGGGCGGGCCTGCTCTCAGCCTGGTTTTGTACAGAAGCTGAAGCTGCTGGCGGTTGTCAACAGTTTCACCCACGTTTCCTGTCGTGCGAGTTGCGTTTGCGAGGTAGTGAGCTCCCCGCCACTGGATTCCTGGCTCGTTGCCGGGGAGGAAGCTGGGTCGGGGCTTCTGCATTCAGGGATGCGGGTATTTTCTGAAGCATGGGGTTCTGCAGCGGGGCGGGTGCAGGGCAGGGGCTGAGTGGGGCGTGGTGGGGTCACGGTCCTCAGGACCTGACTGCCAGGGCTGGGTCTTGGCGTGGACACACCTGTGGCTGTTGCTCCTGGGAGGGCAGCGCCGTCCTCCTCACTTGCGTTTGGGCGACGTTACCAGCTGCACAGTGAGGTCCCACCTGACAGCTCCAGGCTGTCCCCAGACGTCATGGCCCTGCGGGGCCCCGAGACCAGGCGCCTCCTGAGGGGCCCACCCCGGTCAGGACCCCGAGAGTGTGGAGTGGATTTTCTGCTCGCGCCCCAGGGAACGGGAGGGGCTTACTGGCCCAGAGACTGGATCCCAGAGTGGTCCCCAAACCCTGACACGGCCGGAGGTTGTGCTGCTGGGCCTGTGTGACCCTGAGATTCTCAGCAGGGTCCCTGCAGGACAGCGTCAAAGCCACTGCGCTGGGGGGGGAGGGAGTCCGGCCACCTGCACTTGAGAGCCAGGTGCCAGAGGGTGCGGGGGACCCACTGCAGGCCCTTCCAGCGTGGGCGGTGGCGGGGGCTGCGGGGTCCGTGGCTCTGGCAGACACAGGCTCCACGCCGGGGCCCACAAGGCATTTAGGGACCCACAAAATGTTTTAATTTCCTTTAAG